GCCTTGTGGAGGATGTTGGACAACTTTCTCCGGATCTCGTTGCTGGTCTCCTGAGGAAGATGGTAAATCGCTGTCTCGGTGCGACTGATGATTTCCTCGGTGGGGATCTTTTTGGGGGCAACAGCGAAGTTGTGTCCTTTTGCCAACACAGATACTTGTGCTTCACTAAGCTCATATGTGCTCAGATTCTTCACAGTGTGAGTGAGGGTCGGGACTTTCTCCTGGGGGATCAACTTCCTGAACTTACCCCTCTGACTCTCAGTTCTCATCTCAGCTGTTCGGACTGCTTGTTCATTGGTAACACGATCAAGAGTCTCCCACAGCTGAGGTTTCAACTTCTGAGCCAGAAGCAGGTGAAGATCGAGGAGTTGTTTGGAGAGATGAGCCAGGTTCTTCTCAGCTGCTGTTATTCTCTCCTTGACCAGTCCCAGCGAAGCTTGGCGAAGGATGGCATTTGCCTGCTTCAAGGGAACAGGATTCCTCAGACGGAGGAATTTTGGTACCACTTCAGGAATTTTGGTTCAGATATGTGGACGATACCTCTGTCATCTGGCCACATGGAAAGACTGGTCTAACCCAATTCCTGGAGTTCTTGAACAATCAGCACACGAGCACCAAGTTCACCGTGGAAATTGAGCAGGACAGATGTCTTCCTTTTCTGGATGTTCTGGTTCGGCGCAACGAGGATGGCACTCTGGGCCACCAAGTATATCGCAAGCCAACACACACAGGCAGGGATCTCAATGCTACCTCCCATCACCACCCCTCCCAGAAACACTCCGTTATCAGCTCTCTCATGTATAGAGCACTTACAATTTCTCAACCCTCAAACGTTGACAGTGAAGTTGAACATCTTGAGACAGCTCTGACCACGAATGGGTATAACATCCAACAAATTCGAAAGGTCAAGCAAAAGCTACAGAGCAAGCTGTCATTTCTCCAAGAGGAGACTGTTCCTGAGGAAAACCAGGAAAGACCTAAAATGGCCCTCCTCCCCTATCTGAGAGGCACAACAGAACGCATCAGCAGAGTACTCGGTAAACATAACATCCGAACGATCTTCCAACCCCCAAAGAAGATCGGACAGATGCTGCCGAGCGCGAAGGATCCAAGACCAGCCTTGAGTACACCAGGAGTGTACGAGATCCCTTGCTCATGCGGGAAAGTGTACATTGGAGAAACCGGGAGGAAGATCAGTACACGGATCAAAGAACACCTGCGGTGCTTCAAATACGGTCACTTAGAACAGTCTGCCCTGGCTGAACACTGGATGGATACTGGACATACTATCCACTACGACCAAGCCAAAATGCTGGCCAAGTCTCAAGGGTATTTCGAAAGGAAATACCGAGAGGGTTTGGAGATCCATAAAAACCCTAACAACCTCAACAGGGACAGAGGATATCAAGTGAACCCCATTTGGAAAACCGTCCTCCCGGTTTTTTAATTGACCAGCTGATCAATTAAAAACATATGATTGGCTGACTCCCCCCCCTTCCCCTTCCCCCACCACCACAAGGGAAGGTATATAAGGACTGCCCCCATACATCGGAGCTCAGAATCGGAGCTCATAGCCCTGAAGATGCAGACTGCAATGTTTGCGAAACGTCGGCGCAATGCTGAAACTCAACGCGGCATCCATCCGGAAGCCAACCAAGTCAATCCTAATAGAACTTTAAAACTTCTAGAACAAGATCTATAGAAGTTGATTTTTTCTGAGAATTTGAAGACGTGAATTATCTATATTTTTTGTGGGATATTCGGGAATGTTGGACGGGTTGATGAAATTATAACACGCGTTATAACGGTAGAAATCGAATGAAATTTATTCACAGCGAATGTGTCGATGTTTACACCTTGAGTGCTATGACGAATCTGTCTCTCGCGACGATATAGGCAATTAGATCATCCGATCGGGGGTGCCCGAAATACGACGAATCGTCACGAGGTGACGTTGTCAGGTATTCGGCTGCTAAGCCGGTGCGAATACAATATAGTGAAATAATTCGAACGATAAATAAGTAGCTTCGCTACAATACTCCCCTTCTGTGTCGGAAAAAAAAGGGAGTTAGCTATGTACAATATATACAATATAGGAAATGTATACGCGTT